AAGTTGCAGAAGTGGCAGAACCCAAGAGTGAAGGCTGGGCTATGAGATGTCAGGGGGTAGTACTGCATCCAACCCCTCCACCTCCGTAGACTCTTAACGCCTGGTGTGTCTGTGTGTGGGTTTCCTCCGGCTTGAACTGGCCGTGGAGTAATTCTATTCCACCATAAATAACAGTGTATTCTTAAAACGGGCCAAAATTATTCCACGCATTTTGTATTGGCCCTGCCATCTATTTCTGCATTTTTTATTCCGCGGATGGTCTACTCCATATTTACTCCACATCTTCTCTATTGGCTGAACTTGCCGATGTTAAATGTAGACCGATAGACCGTTTTTGGTTTTAGGCCACCTGCACCTTCGGAAAACGTGTGTTCTCCGATCCTGAAGTTATCTAACTTTGGATCCCACGGCCAGAGCAGCAGCCATTCCCATGTATCTGCCAACCCATGATTGCAAAACACATTTGGCTCAAGAACACTTTGGCTCAAAATGGCTCAAGACTTTGACTGCCCAGCTTTCCAAAAAAAAAGGGGAGGAAGGGATGTAATGTAGTTGGCTCAAGACCAGTGTGGGCAAAGTTACCCACACTGGGGCTGGGAGAAAAAATGGGTAAGATGGGATTGGTAACTAGATGGCTCAAAACCAATTTCGGCAAAATTTCCAAATTGGCGCGGTAGGGCAAGGAAAAAGTAGGAAGGGAATTGGGAAGGGATGGTTGGGACTGGGCTGGATGCGACCAGGGGTAACATGATAATATAATGTAATGTAACCTTGGGGTAATGCAACCTTAGAATTTTCAACATGGCATGGCATGAAACCATCAAACCATAAACCATGTCAAACAAAACATTTCAAACATTTTTGGCATGGAACAGGGGAGGTGGTCTGACCCCTCTCAGTGACTGGATCGTTTTATTTTCGATTGTTTTTTTGTTGCCACAAGTGGCAGCGCTGTGGAACCAAGCTGCAGAATTCTCTGCGGCATGGCCAGCAGGGGAGGTGACCCCTCTCGCTGACTAGAATGTTTTCAACAAATCAAACAATCAAACCATGTAAAACACATGATTTTTCAAACTTTTGGCATGGATTGGGCAACGGGGGAAGTGTCTCACCCCGTTCACTGACTGGATCATTTTTTTGTGGATTGTTTTTTTATTTTGTTGCCACCAGTGGCAGCGCTGTGGAACCAAACTGTAGAATTTGTTTGGCATGGCCAGCAGGGAGGTGGTCTGACCCCTTTCACTGACTGGATTGATTTATTTTTTCAACAGGCTAAACCATCAAACCATGTTTATTTTTTATTTTTTGAGGAGGAGGTGGTTTGACCTCACTACCTGGAATGCTGGAGTTTTTTTGACAGGTTCCGGCATGCTGAGCGATCAAAGCAATGAAACCAGGGAGAGCTGCCAATTTCCCCATTTTTTTGTTTGGCAGCCAGCCTGGAAGGAAGACAAATTCAAACAAACCTATGGAAGGTGGTCTGACAGTCAGAAGTGTAACTGGGAAGGGGGGCAGGGCGATCCAAAAAATCACCAACTGGGTCTGTTTTTCATTCAGAGGTGATTTGATGATTTTTCATATGCAGCATTTCCTCCAACTGTTTTGGTTGGGTTGTGTGTGTGTGCTATATTATTTTTTGGGGGCCAATTCTATCTTAGATGGTATTGTTTAAGATGAAGGTGGTCTGACCCCTTTAACCACTGCTTCACCAAAAGGAAATACCTCTTCTGAATGGATCTTTTGATGGATCTACCCTAGATGGGGACACCCTCAATGTTTTACTGGTACCAACCACGTCATTGGGCAAGGTAACCACAGAGAATGTCTGAGGTCTGTAAACACCATTGATTTTTGATCAAGAGTCGTATGCCCCAGGATAACCTGATGAAGTGTTTCTTAGCTAACCTCCATTCTTCTTGATGCCTCTGTTCCCACCGCCGCCACAATGTTTAGATCACTACCCTTCCCCGGTTTCACCCTGCAGGACATGTGCACCTGTGGGCACCAGCAGAATATGACAGTTGGTGTATCCTGCTGGTGCCCACAGGTGTCCATATTCTACAGTTGGCGCTCCAGTTTCTGATGAAACTCAGCTTACAATCAGACTGTTGATGACTGTTGCGTTGAAGGATGGTGGGTTTGCAAATCCCACGTGGTTGACACAGGGGAATCGATAATAATGCATCTTGATGGTTTCCAACATCACCTACGCCGGAATTTCGCTTGTCGTCTGGGTGCAGTGGCTTCTGCCAGATTCTGCCAGGACCCACTGCACTGATACGAATGTGGCATTGGCGCCTTGGTCTGGACTGGTGTTCAAATTCTAGCAGTGTGCAACTGCTGAGCGATACGGAATCTTTCTTGTCCCTCACACAGTTGCACGCTGCTGGAATTTGGATCTCAAATTTGGATATCAACATGGGTTTGGGATGAATCTGGTGGTGGATTTCGATGTGAGCTCTCGATGACAAGGATCATACTTTTGGAGGCTTGGCTTGATAATGGGGGCCGGTTTTCCACCAGGAAATTTGTGTTATTCACAAGTTTTGTAAGGGTTTTGCACTGAAAAATCTGTGTTTTCTCACCAATTTTGTATGGGTTTCACAAGTTTTGTAAGGGTTTTGCACTGAAAAATATGTGTTTCTCACCAATTTTGTATAGGTTTTGCACTAAAATTGACACGTGGGGTCAGACCACCAAGCATCATTTTCTATGGGGTCAGACTTGAAGGTATGGTTTCCAATGCCCAGATGCTTCCAACTTACCGACGCCCCCCTCGGTAAGTTGCACGCGGCCCATTGGTAAGTTGAAACTTTGGATTGGTAAGTTCGTGCCCCTGGGTTGCTGCTAGTGGCTCAAAATATCTACCTTTTCCCGTATTGCCGCTTGCAATGGGGATGAAACGGCCTGCTGCAGCAAAATGTGGTCTGACCCAACCTGCTCAGAAGGAAAAACCGGCAAACCATGGTCTGACCCAACCTGTTGAGAAGGAAAAACCGGCAAACCGTGGTCTGACCCAACCTGCCTGGAACAAAGGAAAAAAACCCAGCAAAACAAGTAAGCAACACGTGTTCATCCCTAAAGAGTAGCTAGAATTGTTTTTTGCGGTTGCTTTGTTTTTTACTGGGCCAGTCTACTGTGCCGCTTTATGGCTGTGCTTGGTGACATCCCGGCGCATCAGCGAAACCCTGCTACTTCGTGGAACAGATGTGCAACTGATTGGAGGCGATGAACACGATGCTCCTCATATACTTTACCAACAACGTGTGGAAGATCGCCACTTGCGTGGAAACGGAAAGCTGGGGAAGGAGCGCTTGGTAGCCAGGTTGTCCAGCGACGCTGTATTGGGATTGAAAAGAATGCAAGAAAAGGGCCTGGAATGGGAATGCTTGCCTGTTCTGGAAAGCTACCGCGCCTTCCACCCTGAAACTTTCAATATGAAACCAATGCAGAAAAAGGCCTTCATTTTGGAAAGCACAGAAGATTATGTTTTCCCTTCCCAAAGCAAAAAAAAGGGATGCAGGCCTAACCTGGCTAGACAATCCATCAATGCGGCGATGACAAAAATCAGAGAGGTGATGTTTGCATTGACAAAGAATCGATGATGGAATCCAGGAAAGAGATTTCAAGGGAACCGGGTCACAGTGCACGGGGCAACCAGACACACAAGCGCGCACCTCCTACTGTTCAACCCATCCTCTACTAGGACAAGACCATCGGAAGAGGTCATCATGGAGATCCAACAAAGGTCCGATGCTCGAGTACTTCGGAAACATTATTTTCACGCTGATGATAGCGAAGTGAAGGATGCTCTTGAATATGGTTCCGCTCCTAGCCCATTTAAGCAATGTGATGGTCTGACCTCACGTGATGGTCTGACCTCACAGCCATTATCGCAGGAAAGCACGAAAACCCTGGAATGTCCCAACCCCGGTCCTCAGCAAAGCTCTACGGCCAGCTCGTCCACATCCAGGCGTCCCATGGCAACAGCGAGATCTCAAAGGCGTGTGCAGGAGGATTGCCCAAAAAAACAACATGAATATTGCAGCCGCAATGTGACATGACTGTTGAATTTATCATTTTTTCCATTTCATGTCAAACATGCTTAATAATAAACCATATGTTTGTTGACACATATGTGACTTTCTAACTATGTCAAATCTGATTTGTTCATTGTTTGTATTGGTTTTGTCATGCAACACCTGAGGCTTTCCGGAAGCACCAGCGGAAGCAAAAACAACATGACAAGAGCATGCCTGGTCAGTGAAGGTCATGGAGTCAATGCCTTTTAATTCCAATTTCGCCAGGTCAGACCATAGCGTTTGCAGTATGATGAAAAAGAAGCAGTTTGCTGGCTGGGACCCCTTGTGAGTTTGGTGGTTCTTATGGGCCCCTCACAAGTTTGTGGTGTTAGCCCCTGCTTCCCTGGTACAGTGGTGTGGTCCCCCTGCTATGCAAGTTTGTGGTCTCCGGGCCCCTTGCACAGGTTTGTGGTACCATGCCCCCAGGAATAATTTAAAACAAAATTGATAGTCAATTAATAATATATCAATTCCTACAAGTGTTGTTGACATAAGACATTGAATCCAAATGGGTATGGCCGAATATAACCAAATCAAATTTGTTTCATGTCCCCAAAACACAACATGGTGGATTGCAAATATACCAGGTCAACCCTGCCACCGCTGCACTATTGCAACATTTTGCTGCACATCGATCGCAGCGCTGTGAGGTGGAAGATCCCTAGCCTAGCAACTGAAAACGTGAAAGGCTCGCAGCCTGTCAAACGCAGCTGCATCTGCGACTGTGAAGGCTAAGGACGTTGGGCGGGATGGCGGCAAAAAGCCAGGTCAGACCTTTAGCCTGCCCACCCTGTAACTTGAATTAATATCCTGGGCTGAGTGGGTAGCCAGGTCAAACCATAGCCCCCTGCCAGAGTCATCCTGGACTGTTGGGTAGTCAGGTCAGACCATAACCCCCTGCCAGGGTCAGACCACCGGTCAGACCAAGACATGCGCCCCCTGGCTGTGAAGGCGATAGCTCTCGCTCCACTCATGCCACGAAAAGCGGAGCGGCATGTCCTCTGTTCTCAGGTAAGAACAGGGCATGTTCCAGGGGGTCGCACGCCTGCCTGAATGCAGCGCCCAGTGGGACCTGGGCAAGCGGTGGGGGAATGGCTGCAAGCCTACCTCCTGGCAGCCCCTCTCAATGTACCACTGGATGATGCCCTTCAAGGTGTCGACGGTGGGGACCTCATCACAATTGATGCGGAAAGTCACCTGGGCATTCTCCAGTCACCACCATTTCAAAAGTTGGACCCGGGGTCAGACCACCGAGCCCAGGACCCGAGGTCAGACCATCCGATCCGTCAGTCAAAGCTGGGACCGTTGTCGCACCGCCGGCATCAGACTCAACAAAAATCATAGGGTCCACGCCTGGCAGTACGACCAGCGTACCATCAGGAGCGTGCACAAAGGACCATTCACTTCCGGCAGCGGAGGACGCCATTGAAGAGAGAGGGGCGACGTGCCACAAACACGGGGGCAGAGAAGCGCGGTCAGAAAATGGCTGCGGGCTGTGAACCAAAGGACAAAGTAGTGCAAACATCCACGGACATGAGCACAAACAAAATCACTCAGCAGAACACTGGAACTCCCTTCGCAACATCTTGAATGGTTGTTTGACCCCATATCTAGAGTTGGTGGTCTGACCCCAAATCTAGAATGGTGGTTTGACTCTGACTTACCCCTCTTCAACATCATGGTTTCACCCCAAATCTTTCATGGTGGTTTGACCCCAAATTACATTCTTAAACATGGTGGTCTGACCCCAAATTACATTCTTAAACATGGTGGTCTGACCCCAAACCCGTGATCACGACTCCACATGAAACTGCCACTGGAAACATTTCCAAAAAAAAATGGAAACAAATGAAAGATGGAAGTAAGTTGTTTCAAACATATTTATATATTTTGCATGTAATGCGATTTGCACATTTTTTGCAAAGCACAGACTGCGGAACGCTTGCATTTTTGTCACCTCTCTGGGATCTTGCACTTTCGGTTCGGCCAGCAAAACTTCTCCAAATGACACGCGGCTCTGAGATTGATGCGTGGGTCTTTAAACCTTACCAATTAGCATCTTCGTCTTCAGAGTCATCGGAATCATCTGATTTCTTCTTTTTGGTCTGTTTTTTCCTCTTCTTTTTCTTGTCATCTGATTCTTCTTCTTCTGATTCTTCTTCCTCAGACTCTTCATCTTTGTTCTTTTTTCTCTTTTTGGATTTTTGTTTTGCTTTCGGATCAGGATTGTGCCCAGAGGTCAGACCATCGGGGCTTCCAGCAGCCACCGAGGTCAAACCATCAGCGCTGACCATCATATTTTTTGCATCCTCGCGATGCAAAGTGTGCCCCTTTTCCGTAAATTTGGTCAGCACATACTTGGTCAATCTCTCTTCCAGCGCCTCCGCGTGCGCTTCGGTGCAGCAAAATGCCACAATGGGGGTGCGTGTGTCCAAGCATGCCTGGGCCATCTCTCCTTGCCCTGCGAACAAGTCAATGACAGCATTGCAGCACAAGCTGTGCAGCAAGTCCGTGTGGAACTTGGTTGGGAGGCGCCCGGCGCTGAAGACGGACTCCACCCGAGCATCATTGGCCACAACCGCTTGCTGCTCCTTGTTCAGGCCTTGGCTTCAATAATTTAGAGGATTTGTGTTTGAGGAGCAAATAAATAAAAAATAAAAACTGACGAATCCAACAAGCAACTGATCTGCTCAGCGGTCGTGAGCTTCAACGCCTTGGGGCCCAGAATCTTCTCCTTGTCTTTCCGGGTAGCTTCCCACAAGGAATTCGGCTGGAGACATGTCACCCACCCCATGACATTCCCTGTGTTGAATCCGTCATAGTGCAGCCTTCTTTTCTCTGGGACTAAGCCAGGAATCAGGGTCAAACCGCTGAACAAGTGCAAGTAGCTGTCGCATCTGTAGGCCTCTGATCCTTTGATGCGTTTCTTTCAGCTGCGCACAGATTCCTCCTGGAAGACAACCATGATGTCTTTCTGTTCACAGTCGATGGTGTCACCTCTTGTCGCTGCAGCAAAACGAAAGATCTTGCGCAACTCTGAGATTGCTCCTGGTCTGTCTGAGGCTGCGTGGAAGCACACAATCTCTCCGGGAGCAGGGACCGTTATCTCCCCTTGGTCGCTTTTCACTTGGGCCCCACGGGCCAGCATCGTGGCTTGGATGAGGCTCTTGATTTCACCGTTCCCGTCCAAGGGCTGCAGCCTCCGAAGGCCAATCTGCGAATTGACGCCCATATTCTCACCCATATAATCCAGGTCACACCAAGTCAAGCACGACCTGACAAGAGGCATCCCTACATTTCGATTGCACGTCCATGGCTAGGGTTCCCAATGTTGTTGCAAAAGAATGCATTGAAATAAACCAAAACCAAAGAGTCCATTCAACAAGCCTCTGGCCCTCCGGCACAATGACATCTTTGAGGCAAGAGTTGGTCAGCTCTCGCCAAACTGTTCCAATACTCCTGGCTGTTCTCCACAAACTCATTGGCTGCCCGACGCATTTGATGGAGAGCGGTCTCTGCCGGGGCGTCTCCGTCCTCCTGGTCTTCCATCTTGTCCCGCACCTTCTGCTCTGCCACTTCATTTTCTCGGATAGAAATGACCTTGGACCATTCCTCCTTGATGATCTCATTTTCGGCCACTTCTTTGACGTTCTTGTGCCCGCGGGCATGCTGCTTTAGCTGATTGTCGAATTGTTTGTTGAACACCAGCTTTTGACAGGGCAGTTGCAAACAACATGGTGAAAAAATATTGGTACTATGGCTTGCTGAAATCTTCAAACATCTAAATGTGCATTGAAATGAAAGGCACATGTTGTGTTTGGAAACCTGCAGATCCATCAGGCCTCAAGAAACTGCAATGCCCCCAAAGAGCTGCGGGCGAGATTGCCTTGCCATGAGACGTCTGAGCCCAGCATCTCCTGCCGATACGAAGCATGGTCCTGCAAGACTCGGCGGATCACTGCCCGGTCCTTCTCCAGGATGTTGGCGCGGGCCATCATGGATGAGAGCCAATGTTCCCAGGCAAAGCATCTTCAACTCCAGGAGCGGAATCAAACCGCAGGTGTTGCGATCACCACTGAGAGTGTTCTTGGTCACCTCATCGTTCGTCAGCAAACTGCGGACGAGCCAGTCATAGATTCCCTGCATCACCCAAACCCGCCGATTGGGTTCAGCTTTGGTTGCCAAGAGATGCAGTTTGCTGAGGGAGTTGAAGCAAGACTTTGTTCCAAATTTTTCTTCCATGGCTAGGATGGGACCTAGCATCTCGGGGCCTTTCATCTTCTCATACACCTGGGTTGCCAGTTGCACTAGATTTGTGGTGAGATCATCCTGTGAAGAAGCTTTCTTGAGGCCAAATTGCTTCAACTGATTGACGAGCTCCGCTGGTTGAAGAGTTCGTCCTACATCGGACTCCATGCGCTTCTTCAGCATGCTGATCTCGGTGGCCTGCTGCAAAGCTGATCGGCTCAGAGATTCATACTCCTGTGTGAGCTGGTTGCGGCAATTCCATGAAAGAATCCAAGTGTTTTTTGCGCCAGCCACAAAGCAGAATGGGACTGACCTCAGCACAATTTGCCATTCCTCTTTGTGCTCTGGGAGGTCTCTGGCAGCCGCATACAGAGCAGCATGCGCATAGCCTTCCGGAGAAAGCATACCCAGAGCTGATGGTCTCTCTGGCACATCTGTTGGGGCTTCCACCTCCAACAACTTGAGGAGGAACATCGGTTTGGACTGGTTCTTGGGCCACAAGAAGTCACCTACAATGGAGGTCTTTCAGTGAGGCCCTGGAATTCAAGCCTCTTTCTGGACCCCGTTTTGGGGTTCCAAACCTTGACTGAAAATACATGTCCAATGCACAACGGAACCCCCAATCCCAAGTCCTCAGCCTTCGACTTCGCTTTCGCAGCTGCTTTGGGCGGCATGGGCGACCACTTCCACAAGACAAAACTTGCGCAGGCAGTAGCAAACTCTAAGGTCTAAGGCTTGAACACAAGTTGCCGCTAGGTATGACACAACAACAAAGGGCAGCAGTCATTGAAACCCTCAACACCAACAACAAAATGCGCACAGGCGGTCTGCTGCTGTGGCATTTCTCAGCCGCTGGCTTCTCCAGGCACCCATGCTCCAGTACGACCTACAATGTGAAACAAAGTCAAAGCGTCAATAAACTCTCTTGATGTCATAATGTCAGCCATTGAAACTCAAGACTCAGCGCTCCATTCCAACATGGTTCCATCATCCCTGCATCATACCTTAAGCATTGAAGATCTTCTGATTGTTTCGTGTTTGCTTAGAAGCCTACGCTTCACCAAGGCCGGGCCATGCTCAAATCCAGAAGCGGCAGTTCTAGGAAATTGCCAAGAAACAGAAGCTTGTAAGGATTTAAAAATCAGGTAGCCTGACCTTTCTCACGTTCTCTGGCAGAACATCGCCTCTAAAAAATCAAGTGGCAAAGATCTCTCGTCAGCACTCACACTCTAAAGGGATCAAATAGCAGCTCCTTCCATGGTAACAGCCATGTTCCACACAGAAAAACGGGCGCATAAAAACTGCAAAAGTATAGGTACGCTGGCTGACGTATCGGATATTTCGGAGAAGTATCAGTCAACACAAAACCCAATGCAAAAGGACAACATCAAAGGGCAAAAGCACCAGCTGACACTTTAGCAAAATCAGAAGCTGCATTGACTGGAGTCAAAACTGTTTGAAGGGACCTGCCGAAACCTTGCTGACACATGGAGCAAAGACTGGACTCAAAACTGTGCGGATCTTGCCCAAAATAGCCCTTGGAAGCGCACCTCCAGGCAATGTCGAAGCTCACAGCTGAATCGCAAAGTCTCAGCCTGCCAGGTCGATCAAATGAAACCACAGTCAGCCACAACATGGTCAATACAGAAAGAAATGCCAAAGGAAAACATCAAACCAGCTGACACGTTGGCAAAATCAGAAGCTGCATTGACTGGATTCGAAACTGTTTGAAATGACCTGTCGAACCATCAGCAGCAAACTGGTGAACTTGCAACAAATCACGAAACAAACATCAGGGAAAAGGCAGACAACAGGAAATGTGTTTTGACCACCTGCGACAAAACATGAAATGTCACCTTTTTCAACACATTAGCAAGAAGGTCGGGCGTCAGCCTATGCAAAACAAATTAAGAATCAATTGGAACCGCTTAGCACTACCACCACCCTGTTTCCAGGGTTGGCAAGCCAATCGTGATTCTCCAAATAATCTAAATTCTTCGTTGAATAATTGACTGTTGCAACCACTGGCACGCCAAACAAATCGCGATGGTATGCGCATGTGCCACCTGCAGTTGAACCGAATTCAACTAAGGCATCATACTTGCCCTGAAGCTTTTCCTGGTGGCTGACAAGGAAATTCAAATCTCTCACATCATCAAGGACCAATCCATCATGTACGGCCCGCTGAAAGTGCCTCATGGTCTCTGGGAAAAACTCCAAAGTTCCTATCTTCAGTTCCAAAGGTCGCTTGAACAGGCTCTTGGCCCATTCAGTTTTCCCTGCTCGGGAAGGCCCGAGCACAACCAAGATAGGGTAGCGCAAGGCATCAGCTTGAAAAAGCTTGAGCCAAGCCTCAGCATCTGGTACTTTCGGAAACGGCCGGAAGAGGCTGGGGTTGGACCGAATCCTTTGAACTCGCTCTGCCATGGCCAAAGTCAAAGCTGCACTATCCTCATGGTCCTTGCAAGCATCTAAATTTCGTTTGCGTGAGAGCACACCATCTCTTGTCAAATAAAGCAATTTCTCTTAAGTGGCTGAGCTGATTTTACGTTGCTTCCACAACGTCTCCGGCCACTTGCCCAGGACTTGGTAGGTCTTCTCACACCGAACCCAGCATGGCAAATAATTGCCCTCTGTGAACGGCAACCCATCCTTGCCAAAGAGTGTGCCGATTTTGTCTGCGAAGACGTAAAACATCCCCCGGTCAATGGACCGTTGCAACTGTCGCCCAGACAGCCCTTCACCACAGAGATCTGTGGAGCTCGCATTTGGTCTGGCAGCAGCAAAGGAAAACACATCAACCACACGGCTGTCTAAGGCTTTGTGGAATTGCACCATGAGGTGGACGTGTGGCTTGCCTGATGAACATGTCTCCATGGAAGCACACCACTTCTCTACTCCCCAATGAGCAACATGATCACGAACAAAAGTCAAGAAAGCTGGCCATTGATCCTGCTGCACGCCATGGTACGTCAACAGCACTGCAACGGAACGAATCCGATACCCTTGGCGGCCTGTCTCCTTCTTGCCTACCAAAGACATAGCGGAAGCTTGGGCTGGTCGGCCACCAGGGTCCTTCCTCCCTTTCACCGTTTGCCATTCCTCCCGCGCTCGTTGCAACTGCTGAGCGTGTTCCACACAGCCTCCTTTGTCAGGGTGCACCTTCTTGATGATGCACCGGAAAGCTTTCTCCACCAAAGGATCAGGGCTCTCCCGCGTGACCTTCACGCAGACTCCATATTGGTGGGCCAACGCCAACAACAAGGAAACTAAGGCGCGTTTCGCCACCTGCACAGCGGAAGCTACCATCTTGAACCAAAACCACTGCCTCACAGGACATCAGCGGAGGAAGTTTTACTGCAAAGCAACGCGTTAGTTCTGATTGGAAACAATGTGCGGAGTAGGTTTGGAGTAAACCCTTGCGGAGGAGTAATAGCCAAATCAGGTGGCATTTGCAATGGAAAATACGCGGAGGAGGTTTCGCCCGAACTAAAAATACAATGTTATTTCTGTCGGGAAAGAACCTCCTCCGCAAGCTACTAAGAATGAATTGGGAAGTAAGGCGCTAAGAGTCTACGGGGGTGAAGGGGCAGGTCCTGACACTACGGAGTCGCGAACCGGTACATGTCCATGTCGACACCCGTACACTTCATCACCCCGCCTGCACCGTCTTGGAGATGCATTGGGTCGGCGCGTGTGTACCTGGAAGCAAGTGGCTATAGGATGACACGCAACTACGACTACAACACCTTCGAAGTGTCACGACTGACTCTGACATAATGCTGTCAAAGCAACCAAGCTAATCACATGGCCGTGCTATAAATGCGGTTTGTAGAAAACCAGGAGCTGCCATGGTCAAAAGCAAATGCGCGTCATGTGTTGCACTAAGCTGACAGATGACTGCCGACTCCTGAGGTCAAAGTTTCTGAGACAGAAGCGGCTGATCAGCTACACAGAGAAAATCGCGAGCACCACATGCATTCCCGTACATCATGCAAGGACCTACCACTCTGACACTTCAGACTTGGGAACCCAGCACTGCTACAAGACACGGCAAACATGTTAACCAAACTAGGAACAACTAGGAAACATACAAACATGCTGCAGGTGGACAGGAAATGGCCGTGCTCGAAGCTGCAACTACAAGACTGCAGGCCTCGTCACGGCTACAAATAATAAAGTCCAGAAGTCTTACCCGGGATCTATAACCTCAGGCAATTCAAGCTCACATCTCTTCCCATAGAAAGACGGTTGTCCAGTTAACTCTACCGACGAGGATTGCCAAAACCAAAGGCGCGCATGGGGAAGAGGTCTCATAAGTCTTGTTCAATGTTCAATGTGGTCCAAAAACCCTTTGTGACAACAACTGGCAAAACAAGATGTTTAGCTGACAAAATGGGTTTCCTAAATCTTGTTTCGCAAGCCCCGATTCCATATTCATCCCTTGCTTGACAGATCAGATTATGTTATACGCAATCATCGGCCAGCACTGTGCGGCAAATTACAAGCAAACTGGCTGTTGCGACGAGTTTCCCATTTGCTGTCGCACTTTGGTCGTCTGTGTCACGAGCCGGGCAGAGTGAAAAGCAGCTACACAACCGAAGGCCACTCAAGTGAGTGATCTATGCCACTCCAACTGTACCTTGGGGCCTGTGGTCTGCACCACTGCAACTGTAGTTTCCCATGCTCTGCGAGGCAAAGGCTCCTGCGAGCCTCACGCACCTCTCATTCTGCCCGATCTCCCTGCAAGCACATGTCACAATCAAAACAACGACAACAATGAGGTTGGCTCGGAGCGGCATTGATAGCATGGGCGCTGTCCATTCTGAGACAGAACACTTTTATTACTGTGTTTCAAATGCAGGCTCTCTCTCTTTCAGTCAAATGTGACACGGACATGATCAAAAACGAAACTGCCGCAGGTTCGGTACGGCATTGACAGAATGGACGCTGCATGGCTCATTCTCAACCAAAACATACCAATGCAGACCTTTCCTGCCACTCCAGTGCGGGACCTCTCTTAGTATGAAATGTGAGCTTGGAATGACTGGTTCAGCAGTCAAAACCAACCAGGCTCTCTAACTCTACCACGCCTAGTTGGGGGCTCTCGCCAACTCTGCAGCCTCCGCCTCAGGACAGCATTGCTCTGGCCCGGTATGAAAAACCTTTGAAACATGCTCCCTGCCTCCTTGGCTTCGACCAGGAGCTTCAAATCTGCGGTGGACAACATTTTGGCCGCCTGCAGGAACAACAGACTGGTGTACAGATTCGCCACTAACATTCAAACGCTTTATGGTCAACTAGACCCCTACAAGAAAAGATCCAAGCGATTCCACCGAAGGTTAAGAGAAACATCTGCTTGCCACCCAAACATCGGTGGCAATACTATGGGGGAATGCTGCCCATGTGGTCTTGGAGAACTACGCGTTTCAAGCTCCCAAATTAAGAACCTATATCTGGCCACCTTCAAACCA